TTCTTTAGGCGTAGGTGGATAAAATAAGGCCCGATGACCCAAGGGTATGTTGACAAACATGCTCAAAGGCCTATTTGTGATACGGGTATGAAGAAGTGCAAAGAAGAGATGACATCCAGTGTTGAAGCTGGAGATAGCTGAAGAACTCAGACTGCAGTGCCTTGTGCATCTCCTGGAGGGTGACCCAGGTTGGAAATGACCGAGTGTTCAGCAAGTGTTACACCGGAGAAAAACCGTGGGAAACCCACAAGGGAAAGGCAGAAGGCATGTCCAGTGGGAATAGGGGTTCCTAACGATGGGCAGGAATGGAGACAAATTACTTGAATACTAAACAGAATCCCATATTTTCAAACTATGGGCCATTAGGGGGCTCATAGTGGAGGGGTGCAATTCATGGAGGAGACTGAGAAGGCTCTGCATAGAGATGGGAGCACAATTTGGGAGCTCCAGAAGCACTCATGATGGAAGAAATGAGCTGGCATGAAGCATAGAGAGTTGTGAAATTTGTGCTGCCAAGTAATATTTAGAAACACACTTTGCATTTTCATTCACTTTGTATGCAATAAATCTCTGATTAAACAGGGTGGAGAGGCTTGGCCAGTGACATCACTATCTCCAGTGAATGCAAAGCATTCTGTGATTGGATGAGATGAACGAATGCAAAGTGTTCCTTGAATGGCGTCTGTGCCAAGCAAATTGCCTCCTGGTTTCACAGTGAAGCAGGGCAGCCGCTCAGAATGGGACCTGGAAGCAAGTGGAGATCACTGTAGTAGCGCTGCCTACTACAGTGATTGCCAGCTTCCACAGGGATCCCACAGGTATGGCACATAAAAGTGGGATCAGTGTAACTTTGTAAAAATGCCATACTTAAACTTCAGCTTAAAGTAACTGATGGACTTAAGTATATAGATGAGTAGTTGTGGATTTACTGTGACTCTATTGGCTCCACATGCTGCGTGCTTTTTATGGGCTATTTACTCACAAATCATGGAAGTCAAAATCAGCGGTGCAGTAGTATTTTTATATTGATATTATGTGCATCATTCCTATATGTGGGGAAAATGAATGTTCCCCAAACATCATGCACAACCTTCAGACTTTGACGTTTTAGCTTTTTTTTTTAATCAAACAAAATATTTGAATATATAAAATGTGCGCTGACTGCTCAGTATACAAAGTCTTGACTACCTGACAGCAGGAACAATGGCCGAACTTCAGCAGAATTGTCTTTGTAGCGATGCCAAGGGATCGCTGCTCTTGCTGAAAACGTTATGTTAATTATTTATGATTTTTACATTATAAATCACACTGTTAGTCTGCTCATGTTTTAGTATAATGCACATTTTGCTTGCTTGCTTGAAAACACAAAACGTTTTTTTGTAGATTCATACAAGTTATACTGTTTGTTCCCACCCAACAGTGAGCGTTAAGTCTTTGGCAAGTTTTTGCAGTGTGTAAATACAGCTGTCTACATAGGGCTACAAAATCTAGCTTTATATTTGTTTGCTGCATTCACTGTTTTCCAGTTCATTTCAAAGGTATGTTACATCCAAAACTGATCTAAAAAATTAAATTACTGTTTATTAAGCTATGGGTCGGGATCCAAGTTGGGTTGTGAATATGTATGGGATGGGTTGACACTTGACTTTATGTCCAAGTGTATATCAGTAGATCACTATGATTGACACCACAGGCATGTAGAGAGCACTAATGTGCGTGTGAGGTGCAGTGGTGTATTTATGTTTCGGGTTGCCCTAGGCAACACAAAAATTGCCCACGGAGAGACCCTGACACTGACCAACACCCCCCCTCCCCCACGAAGAGAGCCTGACATTGACCGACAACACTCCAGCCCCCCTACCTGGGAGAGCCTTCCACTACCACCGCCCCCATACACTGGTAACACCCCGACCCTGCAAGAGAGAAGACACTCACCTCCACAGCTCCGAACATCCCAGGGATCAAGTCAAGCTCTATATACACCATCAAGCAGCCCACAGCCTCTCTCAGGTCCCACTTGGTCACCGTGCTGTGTGTGTCCCTTCTTCCATCCCTTCCTTTGGGGGTCTGTGCTGCCCACCCTGAAAAATGCCACCCTAGGCAAATGCCTTGTTTGCCTTGTGGTAAATACACCCCTGGTGAGGTGGGGTAAGAAGACTATTATCCATACAAGATAGTAAGGTGAAAATAGCAAATAGTTGGAAGTGTCTACTATTAAAAGAAACTATAACCGATTTTATTTCTTTTGGTTTTACCAAGCTTACAGAAATAAAGTGCCCTCAATATGTTCTATGTGGGGACATTCTTAGTATTGGAAGTCGGAAAGTGTTACTAAACCCAGGACCCTGCATTCACTATATCTGGTCTCCCACAGTACACAGAACATGGAAATGCAATTATTTTAGTGAATATAAACTGCTAAATACCTTTTTCTCATCAGTTAGAACAGTCTTGTGACTTCCATCAGTGTCCAGACGAGCACTGTTCAAAGCTTGTAGGAGGAGTTTTCTTTCTGCTATAGGAGGATGCAGAACCCCTGACCTCTTTCTGGACAGTGCTGATTGACCCTGTGCTGATCACATGCACTCTCCCAAGAAAAATGTGCAGAGTGTCTCCACATGATATGTCTTATCAGGAGAGAAAAGGGGGACACTGGAAGAAGGGGGGGGGATCAGAGAAGGGCTCAAACAGCATTTTTACATACTGCAGAGGATTAACCCCTTAGGTTCCACAGTGAGTATAACAAGCATGCTTTACTGTATATACAGCCTGATTTTACTGTTGTGGGTTTAGTAACGCTTTAAATTTAACAAGTTTGAAAAGGCATGTTTTTAAGAAAACCAACTCAATGAATTGTTCAGTCCTAAGGCAGAACACTTAAAAACAGTGTCCCGACCATAGAAGGGTAGGTTGTTAGAGGCGGAGTCGGCTTGTAAGCCAGTAGCTGTGGGTGGCTAGCTAGTATCATACGGCTATAAGCAGTGTTGTTCTGCAGTGGTTATGTGCAGTGCTCACTATATGTTGGTTTACAAATACAAAACTGCATTAAAGGATAAGTTCACCTTTTGGCAAAAAATAATAAATGCACATTTTTTATAGGTAAAAAAAATGTGCATTTTAGCATTGCACCCACGATTAGCAGACACTGGTGCCATGCAGGTCTCCTGCATGAATGATGCTGCTGGGCTGGTCGAGCTTTGCATGGCCAGGTTTTTTTTTTTTTTTTTTTTAAATTTTGACATCTAGTGGTGGGGAGGAGATCTAGGGGGGAGCGGGGACTGGTCCTTTCATAACATATTCCACGTTATATCCTGAATATAGGTGTAACATATTATGAAAGGTGAACTTATCCTTTGCAGTGGAACTAAACCCTCTTCTTTACAGTATAGGAAGCAGCCATTTTAGCGTCTGTTTGATCTGAAGTTGCCATGGTGCTGCATAACTGACATTCACTCCAGTTCGGTTGACAGCTAACATAAGGCCTCTGCTGTATCATTCACAGCATGCTTTGTCTTTGGAGACTGATAAATTGGTGGCTTTAATTCCGTTTTAATTACTTTTTATGTGGGGTTTTTTTTGTTGTTATTATTATTATTATTATGTAGCCATGACATTTTGTCAAAAATTACCTTTTTGGATCCCAGTACTGTAACCATTTTCTCTTTCAAAAATTGTGCACCTGCAGAAATCCGTAGTGTAATCTATGTATGAGCTCCATGTTAGTCCATGTTGAAGTTTACACAGGGTTGGAGACTTTGACCACTGCCCCATATAACATTGAATAGACCTGACAATTGTTAACTGATCTCTGAGTAGGGTTTAGCTCCAGTGTATTCGTTTCGTGGTCTGACCTGGCTTGAGCTATCCTGCCAGCGAACTGTCATTGTAGACTGTCAATGGCCGAGGCATACCCCGCAGCCTCATGTATACAAGGGATGTGTATACATCCAGATGAGGGGCTGTGGGATGCCTTGGCCACTTTCGGTTGGTGGTCTGCAGTGACAGCTTCCTGGCAGTTTGTCTCTGGTGGGTTTGGACTAAGATCCAAACATTCCTGAGCTTAACCCTGATTCAAAGCAAAGAATGCTGAAAGGTAGGGGAGATGGTAAGATACCCCTCTACAAGTAAGTCCCAAGATTTCCAAAGGGGTTGGGTTTCAGAGTATTTCTTAGTGCATTTACGGTACTTAATATCTCTAAAATTATTTTTTCCCTTAACTTTGTCAAGGTAATATACTAGTTACCATAGAGCAGAAACGAAGGTTACGATACAATTAGAAATGATCAATGATGTGGGAAGGAAACTAGAATTGCCAAAACAGCCCCACGTCATGGATTATTATGCCCATGAGAAATTCTTGACCTGTGGTTTAGCCTGCCATATTGTGCTTCTCCTTGAAGATAAGTACGCCCTTTAAAAGCTCTTGCCTTGAAGAAATTCTAATTATATATATTTATGGCGTGCAAAAATATAATAGTCATGCTATTGATTGACAAGTTGTCCTTTTATCCCTGGTGGGGGTTTGTACCCATCTGTAACCTAATATTTAAGCTGAAATCCAGAGAAATGGCGAAATCTACATTTAAGAAACCTAAGGAAGTTGTTTTTATCAGCCAAAGGAGATCTATAGTTCTGTACTTCCAGGTCATATTTACACAGCCCTGCCAGAATGTACAGCCAAACTGGTGAACTAACCTTTCTCTGATGCAATTACAGTGCCTATAAAAATTATTGACCACCTTGTATTATTAACATAGAACATTGAAATAACAGTGGATATTTTTATTTTTTGTTCATTGGCCAAGAGAAATATATTCTTTCATGTCAGATTGACAAAAAAAGACCTCTGCAAAGTGTTTTAAATGAGATGGGTCGGCTACTTGATTTCATCTCCAAGTGAGATATATTTTTTTCCCCCTTTCTCTAAAGCCCAATTTTGGGGCCCCCATTGAAGCACACCCAACCTTTTAAAATATATTTAGTACATAATTTTTTTTCAAGGTGTCTTTGATATGGTCCCATGGCGTCACAGGCCTCCTTCGTTCGTCTTCTTCTTTCTCTAGTTTGTGTGTGTGTGTGTGTGCGCGCGCACACGCACCATAACTAGAGAAAGAAGACGAATGAAGGAGGCCTGTGATGCCATAGGACCATATCAAAGACACTTTGAAAAAAATTATATTATATATATATATATATATATATATATATATATATAATTTTTTTTTTACTTATTTTTAATATATCTGCCTGGCATATAGTTTTTGATACTGGATAGGTTGATGGCACTAGTGTTCACTATTGTGCCTTTGCCACATGCATTGGGCTATGAAAAACCATCATCACACTGCTGAGGTTCTCTCTGAATTTCTCTTTCTCTATTGCTTGGAAACATGTCAATATCAATATTACAATAATAGCAGTATTATAAAGCAACCTAAAGAATGACTGTCAAAACCTAGTCTGTTTAGATTTGTTTTGTAGGGAGTTCTGGGGTAGATCATGAACAGTTCACAACAGAATAAAGTTGTTCTGCGAATGAGCAAGGCCAGATGAGGGGGGGGGGGGGTAATAAACAACTAGGACTTCTGTGCATGAAACTGCAGAGAACCTGAAGTATACTGGGAGCTATGCTGTCTGCCATAAATGAAAGTGTAAATTTAAAAGAATGACGAGTGATCCTGGATGTGGGATACACCTCATTTTTAGGTAACTTTTTTGTTTGCCTGGAGTTCAGCATAAAAGCAACTTTACATAAGCTTTAAAAGCCCAGGCGCTCAGATGGGTGACCGAGGAACGCTTTTAGGTAAATACCACAGGGCAGGTTGCTCTCTGCTCTCCCGCCATTGATTTACATAAGTTTTGCCCACTGAAGAGTGATCTGCAATCAATTTTCAGAGGGCGCTTGGCAGGTGGTGAGGAGGAGATATGTCTCCTCACTGCTTGTTTTAACCCCTAAAAGCCTGCATCACTCTGCCACAACTACGTATGGTATGACAGTATTCACTTGAAAGGGTTATGTTTGGTGGGCAGTTATACCTGCCGAATGTAACGGGGTATAATTTTTGCTGCTGCCTTTACAGCTTTAGGAACATGTTTGGGGGAGCGGTAAAAAAGGCAGCTCACCTGCCTGTTCTTTTGGCCTCCTCCCAAACTACAAGTGTAAATTTTGGTTTTTGGAGATGGGTCGGCAAAGGCTGCTGTGAAGAGAATAGCCTCTAGCACAGAATCTTGCAACATTGTGGGGCTATCAACACAGGATCTGTGAATAAACTTGAATTCTGCCATGCTGGAATGGCTTTAGACATCTCTTGGCATTGTTCCATGATTTGCAGTGACAGCAATCTAAATGTCACCAACGTTTGACAGTTTGTTTGAGGTGTACCGTCAATGTAAATTAAAGGTAGAAGTGCGTTGAGACAAACATGGCAACTTACATCACAGGCTCATTTTCATTCACTTTTGACTTTCTGAAATATTTTCCTAAACTAATTCTAGTTATAATGGTAAAAACAGAGGCAGTTTATACTTCTTGAACATGTACGAATACTAAACGATTCTATGGTAAATCTATGTTCTATACTTCTTGTTTTTTTTTACATTTCCATTCATCCCATGCATTGTTTGTCTTTTAATTGTTAGTATGCTTTTGATTTTGTGTTTAGCGTTGTGTACATTTTAGGTGAGGCTGTAACAGGCTTAATGTAATCGGTTTGTTAAGTTGAAACCTAACTTCATATTTTTATTTTTTATGTTTTTAGGGAGGAGTTAAGATTTTAAACTGCACCCTCTATGGCACGGGTGTCAAACTGGCGGCCCTCCAGCTGTTGTCAAACTACAAGTCCCATGAGGCATTGCAAGATTGACAGTTACAAGCATGACTCCCAAAGGCAAAGGCATGATGGGATTTGTAGTTTCGCAACAGCTGGAGAGCTGCCAGTTTGACACCCCTGCTCTATGGGGAAAACTTCCATCACTTCCCATCCCTGTGACTGCTTGGAAAAAAAAGGGGGGGTGGTGCTGCCACTGGATGCAGCTTGAAATTTAAACAGAAGAATTTTCAGAAGTTCTGACCTTTCCCTACTCTAATAGTCCTTAATCACACGTCCTCAGAGGGCCCTACACTAGGCTGTGACTTGAAGTCTGTATTTCTACTCTCAGGAGTACGGGTGCCTGTACAAATCAACGTGCCCCTAGGGATTCCCTTAGTTTTTTTGGGGATTTCCTCTCTCATCCTGTTTTGGCACTAGGACAGGAAGTGAAGGCAATTCTCCCCAATGGGATGCAGATGGCAAAAAATAAGCTGGCAGGGGTTATAACCCTCCATTACTTTATCCAAAATGGGGAAAAAACAGTTTTGCCTATAGTTCTACTTTAAAGCAGAAGTCCACCCAAAAGGGCAAGTTCTGCTTGTTGGCATCCGCCCCCCCACTGCCATATTTGGCACTTTTTTGGCGTCTAAGCTTGCCACGGCATTCTCTGGCCCTTCCTCCTTGCAGTCTTCTGGGACACATCGTAGGTCCCAGAAGACAGCAGCACCAATCACGCTCGCACATGCGCAATTGTAAACCAGCCGTGAAGCCGGAAAGGTGTCCCTTAGTTAAGATGTCAGTGTCTGAACCCGAAGCCGATTAAGGAAATCTGCTCAGCTGTGGACATTGCTGGAAACCTAGACATGTACGCAGGGGCGGACTGACAACTCATGGGGCCCCCAGGCAATAGGGGATCATGGGGCCCCTGTGTCCTTGCCCAAACTCAAAAAAGCCTATCAAAAAGGTACCAGGGGCATCTCATGGGGCCCCCTACTGACCCTGGGCCCTCGAGCAGTGCTCAAGTTTCCAAATGGGCCATCCGCCCCTGCATGTAAGTGTCCTTATAGTAACCGTCAGCAGCTACAGTATTTGTAACTGCTGAATTTTAATTTTTTTTGAGAGACCAGCTTTAAGCTTTGACAGTAAAACCTGGCAGCTGATTGTTTTCTCTGCAAAGCTGCATCAGGTATTGCACGCTCCAGTTTTAGTAAATCTTCTCCATACTGCCTAGGGGGAATTTACTAAAACTGGAGCAGACAGAATATGGAACAGTGCTCAACCACACAAATAACAGTCTACAAACATCAAGTGAAAACATCAGTGATGTCCAGGTCATCTAAAAAAAAAAACCCCCCAAAAAAAAAACCATCCAGGAACAAATGAAAAACATTCAACTATCCATCTTGAAGAGACAACCAAGACACTTGTGCCCTTCACCACAAATAAGGTTGTCCTCCAGAGATTCATCAACAGCAATAGCAAGACACCAACTTCCAGCTTCAGTGATTCCAAGGATCAGCATGTCAGATCAGACCGCATCTGCACTCATGGAGGCCACACACAGTGTAAAACCACCATACATTTATTTAAAACAATAGAGAGCTACTTACAGAGGTAATAGAAAATACAGCATGTACTAATGACTCACTACTGGCACATGGTGATCGTTCTGACGTCAATTAAGCCCCGCCCAACATGTTTTTTGCTCTCAAACAGCGTTATCAGGGGTCAGGCTCCTGTTACCCATGATCCTTGGAAATACAGAAACTGGAAGTTGGTATCCTGCTGTTGCCATTGATGAATGTCTGGAGGCCTGTTAACTGCTTCCCGTCCACCCTATAGCAGTAGTACTGCTACAGGACGGCACGGGTGCGCAAAATCACATATATTTATTTATTACAGGTACTTGTATAGCGCTGTCAATTGACGCAGCGCTTTACATATATATTGTACATTCACATCAGTCCCTAACCCTGAAGGGGCCTACAATCTAATGTCTCTAACTCACATTCATACATGCACATACTTGGGCCAATTTAGACAGTATCCAATTAACCTACCAGTATGTTTTGGAGTGTGGGAGGAAACCGGAGTACCCAGAGGAAACCCACGCAGGCACAAGGAGAACATGCAAACTCCAGGCAGGTGGTGCTGTGGTTGGTCACGACCAAGCCAACGACCCTAGTACTGCCAGGCAGAAGTGCTAACCATTTAGCCACTGTGCTGCCTACTGTGATTTTGCATTTCTGGGCAGTAGGCGTGCGCCCCCTACCCACGCCTCTGTTTGCGGCCTTGACTGTCTGTCACCGGGTCCCAGGTGATTACTTGCTGGCACCCGGTGATTGAGGAGGATTACTGATGGAGGGAGAGAACTGTAAGTAAACAATACAGTTCTCTCCCCTGTCCGCTCCTGCACACTGCTATGCATGGCTTTGCATAGCAGAGCCATGCATAGCAGTATGCTTACAGTGAAGCACACCGTAAAACGCACACAGTAACCCTTTGATTGCCCCCGATGTTAACCCCTTCCTGCCCAGTGCCTTTAGTACAGTGTCAGTGCTTTTTATTAGCACTGATCACTGTATTGGTGTCATTGAGGATGTCAATGACACCATGTCAGTTCCCCCCCAGTGTCAGAATGCCCGCTGAAGTCCCGCTAGAAGTCGCTGATCGCCGCCATTACTAGCAAAAATAATTTTTAAAAAATCCAGTATATATACCGCAATTTGTACACTTTTTAACTTTAACATAAAGCGATTAATCTACACGTGCTAGGATTTTTTTTAGCAAAAAAATATAGCAGAATACGTTTTGGCCTAAATTTTATAAAAAAAAATTATACTGGACATGTTTAATAGCAAAAAATCAAAAATGTAGTTTTTTTTTCCCCTCAAAATTGTTGGTCTTTTTTTTTTTTTATAGCGCAAAAAATAAACTCACAGGTGATCAAATACCACCAAAAGAAAGCTCTATTTGTGGGGAAAAAAGGGCGTAAATTTAATTTGGGTGCAGCATTGCATGACCGCGCAATTGTTAAAGAAACGCAGCGCTGTAACGCAAAAAATGGCCTGATCAGGAAGGGGGGTTAAATCCTCTGGAGGGTAAGTGGTTAATTACATGCCTGGCTGATTTCTGTGGTGGGGATCTTTTTATATTTTGTAAGGGGCTAACCTTATTTGTGGTGAAGAGCATGAGTGTCTTGGTTGTCTCTTCAAGACACCTTCACGGAGTCGGTGGATAGTTGAATGTTTTTCATTTGTTGCTGGACTTTACTGTTTTTTAGAAGATTTTCACTTGATGTTTGTGGACTTTTATTTGGATGCACACTCCTTGTATGTGTATAACTAGCATATATCCACAGCCTGCATTGATTTTCCAGGTTGTTGTACAAATAAACATGCACGCTCCCTGGCACAGAAATGTATGTTTCTGTTTGGTGTATGGCCCTCTGTGGCCACGTGACTGAAAACTTATAAATGTGGGGAGTTTTTTTTTTTTTGTATGTTTGTTTTTTTTTTTGTTTTTTTTTTTTGTTTTTTTTGGATTTTTTTGTCCCCATTTGACAGCTTTCCCATCCAGGAAATGAGGAGAATCTCCGACATAGAGACACAGATGTACCACAACACAGGCACGATCCCTTCTACAGTATGCTTTCTTCAGAATAAAACTGCAGTTCTGACCACTTATTTTTTTCCAGACTGGGGAGAGAAAAGAATGCATTTTTTATATATTTAGTAGTACTTGAATTATTTAAATCACAGGATGAAAATATAATATGTTGAGAAGCAGAAATTCTGAGGTCACCAAAGTAAGGCTCCATGTACACGGGACACTTCTGAACGATGGAAACTGACTGCTGGAAAACATAGGTTGTTAAAAAACCTCTGTTTAGTGCTGTGTTTGCATATAAACGTTTATGTGCATTGAACACAAGCGTGTTTTTTTTAAGATAATCTCAGGAGACCTTCCAAAATGCCCAGAATGCACTGAAAAACAGTACAAAATTAACTATTTAGGGAGACATTTTGAAAGAAATAGAGAGACATGGAGCCAGATGCAGGGAGAGCAGTATTTGTTGAGATTAGCTGCCTTTTTTTTTTTTTTGGTGGTGTTTTGGATGTGTTCCAGCTCATTTCTGTGCAGAAATTATTGCAGCAGTGTCTAACATATTTTCTTTCATGTGAAACCTCAAAGTATGGTGTACCAAGTCTATTTGAGCACTGGGAAAACTCTTTCATGATGAAAAAAGGCTCTGGACAGCATCTGGAAATGGAAGAGTTAAAAAAAAAAAATTCCAAACGCTTATAAATGCGGTTAGCCGCATTTACAAGCATTTGAAACGCTGATAAAAATCTACTCCTAATCGCAAGTTTGGTGCGTTCAAAAAAATGACTGTAAACTCAACTGCCTGTAAACGACATAGTGTACATGGACACATAGGAAAACATTAGGGAGAGTTCAGGGGCTGCTGAAAAGAAAAATGCAGAACAGCTCCTAAACGTGAGTTTTCAGCTGCAGTGTACATGGAGCCTTACGTGTGTTAAAAAAAATTTCAATTTCCGAACGCTTATAAACGCGGTTTGCCACGATTAAAAGCATTTGGCGTTTGAAATGCTGACTGACTAACCGTTTTGTATCAGCTACCCCTCTCTGCTAATCCCTCCACTGGCTTCCCGTTGCCCAACGGATAAAATTCAAAACACTAACAATAACATTTATAACACTGCCCCAAATTACATCACCAATCTTGTCACTAAATATCACCCAAACCCGTACTCTCCGCTCCCTCGCATGACCTCCTGCTCTCTATCTCCTTTGTCTCCTCCCATGCTCATCTCCAGGACTTCTTCAGAGCTTCCCCCATCCTCTGGAATTCTCTACACCAATTTATCAGACTATCGCCTACTCTGCTCACTTTTAGGCGATCTCTGAAAACCTATCTCTTCAGGGAAGCCTATCCTGCCATCAGTTAATAATGGAATCTTCTACTCTTCCTACCAGTTCATCCCCCACAGTTATTACCTTTTGTACCACTAGCCCCTCCCTTCTAGATTGTAAGCTCTGCGGAGTAGGGCCCTCCTATCCCTCTTGTATTGAACTGTATTGTCTCCCATTATATTGTAAAGTGCTGAGCAAACTGTTGGCGCTATATAAATCCTGTATAATAATAATAATATCTACTCCTGAACACAAGTTTGGTGCATTCAAAAAAACGACTGTAAACTCAACTGCCTGTAAATGACTATAAACGACATAGTGTACATGGACACATAGGAAAACATTAGGGAGAGTTCAGGTGCTGCTGAAAAAAACGCAGAATAGCTCCTAAATGTCAGTTTATCAGCTGCAGTGTACATGGAGCCTTACTTGTGTTGGTCAAGTTGGAAACGTCCAGCCAGTTCTCTTTTCTCTTGGAAAAGCAGAGGTACACCTGGTGCAGCTTTTCATCTGTGTTCTTATTGTAACCTACGAGCTGGAAAGTGTTTGTCAGGCCTGTAAAATGGTCTATGTGTTTGGTTTCCTAGTGAATGGCCATTCTGCTTTGTGTGGGGCTATCTAGTCACTCCTTTGGAATGTCACATAACAGTGGTTGCTACTGCTGCAACCATGATAACTTGAAGTAGGCCCTTCCTCCTAGAGAGCCCATCTCACTGCTAGCAATGTTGACTCTGAGCTGGAGGACATTATTGATCCACTGACTTGGTGGTAGTTTCCTCTTACTATAGAGCACTGGTTGGATGCTGGCTAATAAATCTCTTGTGAGGCAGAAAGCAGTATAGCCAAGTCCTCCTCACATTACTGTGTGATGGCCATGAGTTGTCAGGGTAACAGCTTTGGCTTGGCTGCCTGCATTCTTCATGCTTATGTCTCTTCACATTCTGTCAGCCTTCGCTCTTCATAGCCAGATTGTGCACATGAATTGCTGTGATTAATGCTTACAGATTCAAAAATTAAGCTGTAATTACTTAGTTTACCCAAAATACCTATTTAAACATGGAAGCTACCGCTAATGTCTTAGCATGTTCTGTACATCATCTTATTGAAAATGGTTATCGTTTCGTAATTACTTTAGAAGTGTTCTACTTTTCAGATGACCCCAGGGGCCCTAGTTACATGCTTCTTTCTATACCTTGTGCCTTGCCATAAAATAGTAGATTAGTGCAGCTATATTCTTTTGTGTGCGGATTCTACTACAAATGCTTTTTACCTGTATTGTATAAACCGTGTACACCCTGGCTCATCCCCAGAATCGGTAGAAAAACCTGCAGATGAGGAAACTCGTGCACACCTGCTAAGAAGTGGCTACCTGATCCTCAGAGATGAGCAACAGGGGACTCAAAAGATAGAAGTGCCAGCAGATGGAGGGGTAAGGACTTCACTGGAGGAGCTGGTGAATATAGTTCTGCTTGAACTTAACATCTTTACTGAAAAAGTTCCCGTCAGCCTGTCGTTGGGCTCGTGCGGGCTCCCTCCCGTCAGCCTGTCGTTCGGGCTCGTGCGGGCTCCCGTCGGCCTGTGGTTGGGCTCGTGCGGGGCTCCGTCGTCAGGCTCGTGCGGGCTCCCGTCGGCCCGTCGTTGGGGGCTCGTGCGGGCTCCCGTCAGGCTCGTGGGGGCTCCCGTCAGCCTGTCATTGGGCTCGTGGGGGCTCCCGTCGGCCCGTTGTCGTGCGGGCCTCGCGCAGGCTCTTCTCGGCCCGTCGTCGACTCGTACTGATAGGTGCAGTATACTTGCCGCACTATGGCCAGTTTGGCCACGTGAGCAACACCTAACATGATGAAATATTAACCCTCTCTGTACCTGACCTGGAGCTCACATAGGGTTTAGGAATTGCGAATCCTCAGATGAACATAGAGGGGGAGGTGTGTCATGAAGGTAAGTATCCATGGTGGGAGAAGCCCAGTCTAAAAAACCTATTTAATGTTGCCATGACAGGTTTTCTTTAACTGTAAAATTCCATATCTTAATTAATTTATTTTATTTAATAATTCCCAAGATAACTATTTCTGCATCTACTATAAGCTTTTATAAAATAAAAACTTGGTAATATTTCTGTAAATTTCCATGGTACTTTCATTGCAAGAGTGCAGAAAATACAAAAAGAAGTAGAGATGTGGAATACAAAGAAATCCACCCACACCTCTGCATGAAGCAGAGCTCAGGTGAGTCATTCTGTGCTCTATTGAAGGAGATGATATATATTCTGCTGTTCACAAAAATATAACATGTACATTGGGAACCAATTGAGAATACAGAGCACGTCACACGTGCCTACGTAGCTATTTCAGATACTGAGCACTTTAAATGTAATGTCCATGGTGTAGATGGAAAAACAAAATATTAAATGTAGTGAACCCAATATAAAAATATTTCTTGATTCATATTTAATGGTGTGTAGGTTACAGGTATTTTATAATTTTTTTTTTTTTTTTTTTTTTTTTTTTTTTTACGTCAAGAAATACGATTTAAAGGAAACCTGTAATGGGAGAAATAAGGATGCTGCCATATTTCCTTCTGGTCTCACTCTCTTTTTGGGTTCAAAATCTTCCAAGTCACTGACCTGGAACAAGCATGGAGATTAGAAACATGAAATCAGGAATCCTGATCTGTTACAGATCAATGAACCTGAAAGTATTGAAGAATTTTGACAGCCAAACGATTAACGTTTGGGGAAGGCGTTCTTGGAAAATCATGCATGCATGCCTGTGTATGTATGTACAGTGAGGAACAGAAGTATTTGAACACCCTGCGATTTTGCAAGTTCTCCCACTTAGAATCATGGAGGGGTCTGAAATTCACATTGTAGGTGCATTCCCACTCTGAGAGACAGAATTTAAAAAAAAAAAATTCAGGAAATCACATTGTATGATTTTTAAAGAATTTATTTGTCTTGCACTGCTGAACATAAGTATTTGAAAACCTAAGAAACAGCAAGAATTCTGGCTCTCAAAGACCTGTTACTATGCCTTTAAAAAGTCCACCTCTACTCCACTCATTAATCTAACTTAGTAGCACCTGTCTGAGCTCTTTAAAGACACCTGTCCACCCCACAGTCAGTCAGACGCCAACTACTACCATGGGCAAGACCAAAGAGCTGTCAAAAGACACCAGAGACAAAATTGTGGACCTCCACAAGGCTGGAAAGGGCTACGGGGCAATTGCCAAGCAGCTTGGTGAAAATAGATCAACTGTTGGAGCAATTGTTAGAAAATGGAAGAGGCTAAAGACTACGGTCAGTCTCCCTCGGACTGGGGCTCCATGCAAAATCTCACCTTGTGGGGTATCACTGATAATAAGAAAGGTGAGGAATCAGTCCAGAACTACAAGGAAGGAGCTGGTCAATGACATGAAGAGAGCTGGGACCACAGTTTCAAAGGTCACTGTCGGTAGAACACTACGCCGTCATGGTTTCAAATCATGCATTGCATGGAAGGGTCCCCCTGCTCAAGTCATCACATGACCAGGCCCATCTGAAGTTTGCCAAGGACCATCTGGATGATCCAGAGGAGGCATGGGAGAAAGTCATGTGATCAGATGAGACCAAAGTAGAACTTTTTAGTCTAAACTTCACTTGTTGTGTTTGGAGGAAAAAGAAGGATGAGTTGCATCCCAAGAACACCATCCCTACTGTGAAGCATGGGGGTGGTAACATCATGCTTTGGGGGTGCTTTTCTGCAAAGGGGACAGGACGACTGCACTGTATTAGGAGAGGATGAATGTGGCCATTTATTGTGAGATTTTAAGCAATAACCTCCTTCCCTCAGTCAGAGCATTGAAGATGGGTCGTGGCTGGGTCTTCCAACATGACAACGACTCGAAGCACACAGCCAGGATAACCAAGGAGTGGCTTCGTAAGAAGCATATCAAGGTTCTGGAGTGGCCTAGCCAGTCTCCAGACCTAAATCCAATAGAACATCTTTGGAGGGAGCTGAAACTCCATGTTATTCAGCGACAGCCCCGAAACCTGACAGATCTAGAGGAGATCTGTGTGGAGGAGTGGGCCAAAATCCCTGTTGCAGTGTGTGCAAACCTGGTCAAGAACTACAGGAAACGTTTGACCCCTGTAATTGCAAACAAAGGCTTCTGTACCAAATATTAACACTGATTTTCAGACCCCTCCATGATTTTTAAGTGGGAGAACTTGCAAAATCGCAGGGTGTTCAAATACTTCTGTTCCTCATTGTATGTATGTGTGTGTGTATATGTGTGTGTAATACATGTATAGATAAATCAGGGGTGGACTGACCATTTGGGAACTTGGGCACTGCCCAGGGTCTGTAGGGAGCCCCATGAGATGCCCCTGGTACCTTTTTCATAGGCTTTTTTGGGTGTGGTTTGAGTGTGGGCGAAGACACAGGGGCCCCATGTTTCCCTATTGCCCGGGGGCCCCATGATTTGTCAGTCCGCCCCTGATATATATATATATTTTGTGTGTGTGTATGTATATATGTGTGTGTGTATTTATGTGTGTGTGTGTGTGTGTGTGTATGCATGTGTGTATGTATATATATATATATATATATACCGTATTTATGAGTATAACGCGCACACGTGTATAATGCGCACCCCTAATTTTCGATTGAAAATCGGTATAAAATTTTGTTTCACTTTTTGAAGAACCAAAAATATGAAGAACACTGAATTGTGCAAAACAGCAAAACAGCAATGCTTACAGTAACGTGTGGGCGAGGCAAGGAAAGGAAATGAAGAGGCGACCATATGTTACAGCGGATAATTATTCTCCCCCCCAGTGTATCTCGCCAGTTCGGCCCGCCCACTGTACGCGACGAGGGGGACGTTTTTTTTTTCTTCGCCCTCGTGTACAGTGAGCGCCTGCGCCCTCAATGGACCCGGCCGCCACTGCGTCACCCCACCAGTGCATCTCGCCATTTCGGGCCGCCCACTGTACGCGACGAGGGGACGTAGAAAAAAAAAAAACGATCCCCTGTTTTCGCCGCCCCTTAAAGGGGCGGGGCCGGCACAGGGGACGTTTTTTTTTTCTTCGCCGTACAGTGAGCGCCTGCGCCCTCAATGGATCGGCCGCCACTGCGTCACCCCACCCCAGCCCTCGTTTATAACGCGCACCCAAACTTTGATTTTTTTTTTTGGTAGAAAATTTTGCGCGTTATATCGAATAAATACGGTATATACATACATACATGCACGCTCACGTACCTTGTTGTTGAGTTAACCTGTTTTAGAATTTAAAAGAGAAGTATGGGTTTTGAAAAAGTAAATACTGAAAGGCTGAGTCCCTCAGGCATCTGGGATGATCCCAACATTAAAGTTTGTATCCCTCCCAGGGTCTGGACCAACTGAGTGACGTCGGCCAACAGCGGGTCACAGGAGTGCAGAATGAAGTGCACTCCTGTGACCTACAAGAAAAGTAGGGTCAAAATCACCTAAAGATATGATAGAATTTTGTTGATGGTATATCTTTTTGAACCTACATAAGCCATTTATTACTAGGGGGTATACAACCCTGTGCGTGTATATATCCTTTTTTTTTTTATGCGAGGCTTGATATGTTTCTAACATGAGTACTTATGTTCTAGCATATATATAGTGTACACTTCATATTTTTTTTTTCCACTGTAGAGGGGAAAAGAATAAGAATCAAAGTTAAGATCTGCGATGGAGGGTACAGATGGCAATACAAACTTGACAGCGGCTCTAACCCTTTCCCTCTCTGCCCAAAACTAAACAGAAATTTGGAATTTGCTTTTATATTTTGTCAGATGAATCCAATGCCTGTAGTAGTAAGCTGAAAATTCCAGTATTTTCCCAGTTAATTTCTGTTCACTCGTTGATTGCTGTTAACCATTTTAGGCTGCTTTCACATTGATCCGTTTTTCTCCTGCTTTTGCAGAAGAAAAATATGTGACCATTTATTCCTATGAAACTGTTCATGCTGATCCATTGCGGGTCCAGTGCATTTTTCAAAGTCCTGCTTGCTGCATTTTTTGTGCAGGTTTGTTGCGATTAAAAAAAAAAATAAAAACCTCACCTTCCCATTTAAAATCAAAGGAACCCATGGTGCATTTTTGGTACGGTTTTGTCACACGTCCAAATAAAACCGCACTGTAAACGTGGTAAAAATGCTGCAAAGACGCATATGCCACGAATCATTATAAAAGTAGCCTTAGACGCATGGATCAGGTGAATCATATTTAACGGTCTGTACTTCATTACTTTTTCTTTTCCCCCTTTTTTTTGGGGGGGGGGGTTACTGTAAAGGTCGTACAGCATATTTGATATCACTGTGCTTGACATGTAGATGTATCACAAATCATACTTTTATTTGAAATATATTAAATCAAGGGAGCTGCCAAGGACTGCTTATACTGCTTCCAAGAATTCTTGCTTGCAAAGGAAATGAAAAATAACTTGTATTCATTGAATTCCTAAGATATTTGTGAGATGTGATGACCCAGAAGCGTTTGATGATTGTCATGTGGTACTTCCTGTAGCAGTAACAATTGCTGGCTATGAAAATTTATAGGCTGAGTTGTCTATTGTGAGGTCACCATGATCAGTTGGCTTCATGAAGTTGCAAAATAATCTGCTAACAAAATATGTATTTGGCTCAGAGGGCATTTAACAGGAGGTGAGGAGAGGTTTTATTTCTACCTCACTGCCTGTAATAACCCCTACAAGGCTGCCCACCATGCCAAAACCACATGAATTGCACTGGTTAAAGCATGGCCAGATTCACTTGAATGGGTCGTGTTTGGTCAGCGTTACTGGTCTTCAATCACACAGGGGGATAATAAAATGATTGTACCTGCAGCATGTGTATACCCCTGGTTTCCTTTGCAACTGTGGCTCAACCACTTGTTTTTACTGCCCCTCAGCTGAAAATGTAAACTAGGCCTAATGGTTCTGTCTTTTTTCCATTTGGTGATTCCATGTGGTGATACTAAAGATTTCATGCAGTGGTAGGCAACCTGCGGCTCTTCAGCTGTTGCAGGACTACAAGTGCACAGCTGTACAGTTTTGTAATTTTGCAATCTAAAGATTTAGCAGCCGCAGGTTGCTATTGGTGTAGGATGAAAAACTACAGTCTCTAAAATTCTACATAGTTCTTCATAGTAAAATGGAGATCAAAATGTAACTCAAAGTTGACCTTTAGGCATATATAAAAGCTCAACTTAATGTAGCTCTGTAGTCATTACTATAGTATTAAAGTAGTTTTTCAATGCAAGCAGTGCAAGTACCTGAATTTAACTTGGCAACTGTCAATTGCAGTTCCTGCACAGCAGAACTCAGACTGGGAAAGGGGAAATTCTAAAACTAAATACAAAAACAGGTTAGGATTATGCCGATGGGAGTGGTGCATGTTCCTGGCACCTGGAACCAACTAAAAGGAGATATATTATATTTTGTATTCAATTTTTCAATGTTTATGTGATAATATAGATACAGTTATTCTAAAAGGATACACAGCTTGGGAAGGTTATAAAAATTGTTTCATCAAAAGGATACATTCACTGGAAGGATCTTTTTGGAACTGATTATTCAGTAGATCAGCCATTCGCAACCAGGCCTAGAACACACAAGAATATTTGATGAATGATCATCCATTTTTTTTTTTGTTTGTTTGGCATGCTAGTCTCATATTGAAAATGAATAGGTTACTAAAGTTACCAAAATTCTCGTTGGATAGAATACAAGTTTGGAAGTGATGTGTTCTTACGTTTCTGGACATGGGTGGTCTTGGTCACTTGATTTTTTTTTTCCATACAAATACTATATTAACTAAGAGAAAATCGTTTGTTCTTTTACCTTACGAGAAAATTTTTTGTGCTTTTCCCTTTCGGATAATTTCGCATGAACATTTGTAATCGGCTCTCAAAAGCTGTTTCTAACAATCAGATTATTGGACGATATTTCTGAAAGCATTTTTTTTGTCCACTTTTCTCATCCTGTGTAGTAAGCATTAAGCCAGTGAGCAATTACTGCCTCTCAGATAAGTAACCCCTTATACCAATGGTCTCCAAACTGTGGCCCAAGGGCTGGATGTGGCCCCTTGCTAGCTTTTATCTGGCCCTTGAGGCACTATTGCTTCCAATGATATGAGGCATGATTCCTCCCACTGACACCAACAACTGGGCACTATTCCTTCCACTGAGACCAATGATGATGTACTATTCCTCCCATTGATACCAATGATGGGGTACTATTCCTCCCATTGATTCCAATGATGGGACACTATTCCTCCCACTGACACCAACAATGGGGCACTATTTCTTCCACTGATACCAATGATGGGGCATTACTCTTCCTCCTACTAACCACCAACCCTGAGGCCATCTGTATCCTCACTGGTGCTGGGCCCAGGACATTTTCTACCCCAGATGGCCACAATCCGGCCCCCCGTAAAGTCTGAAGAACAGTAAACTGGCCCATTGTTTGTTTGAAAAGTTTGGAGACCCCTGCCTTATACAAAAGTTCTTTTTAGCTTTCTGTAAGAGGAATACTTCCCACTGACTGTCATGCTAATGCACCATGCTGTAGATATATATAGTAATTATTAGTAGGGCTTCCTTGAGATGGGAAAGTTATTTCAAGGGCACCTCTATGTTAAAAAGGTTGAGACATGCCCCCTGTACATAGGGTGTCAAGCTGCTGTGAGTGCAATTCTGCATCTTGGTGCGTCCTGGAGGCACAGGTGCAGCATCCAGCCCCATCGCCTACAGCCTATCTAAGTCTATTGCAGGTTGACAAATACTGTGGCTGAGCGGAGCTAATTGTACTGATTGGTAATCACATTTTGGGCTCTGTATGTTCAAGGTAAATGCCTGGAATGCAGAATATCTCTGTTCTGGGCATTTGTCCCTAAACGCAGGAACAGATGAGGCAGCGGCAATTATACAAGTGTTTTTCATATCTACCTACACTTGTTATCCACCTACACTTGTTCCTTTAAACTTTTCTTGTCCTATTTTACAATCTAACCCTCTACTAAACAGTGACCATTATTTGCGCTCTAAATGTCTGTTAAACATGCCACCACCGGAGATGACTTTTCTGTTGCTTTATTTAGACTATTCTCTACAGCAATGTGTTTAAAGACCATTCAGAAATTGGGACATGGCTTCTTTTTTGCTGTCCCTTGATTTAAAAAGCATGAGTTACATCTGCAAGAATGAGTCATTTCCCAGGTGTATTCCACGTGGGAGAGCAATAGTAGCTGAGCTGATCATAACCAGCCAGTTTATACACTGAACACACATGCAGTATTAGCTGCTTTTTCGGACCTGTCTTCCAGTCTTTGTACTTCTGAAATGAAGTTCTTCTACTGGATTTACAATAAATAGCAGTGTCTTTCTGCACAGGCCTACATTTTTTTTTTTCATGCTGAAATGGATACTGAAAATGTTCACACCTGGTCCTGTCCTGTGCAATTTTATTCTGCATCAAAATCACATGGACAATGTTTAACATGGATTCCTATGGC